GAATTAAAAGGTTTATCTTGGAGCTAATAAAACTATCAATCATTAAATAGCTTAACATCATTTCTTTAACTAACAACAGCATTGTAGCTGACATCTACGTTTCCATGGTATTCCCCAAGTGTCCCCAGCAGTGATGCTAAACCCATTTGACTCTACTTAAAACAACAAAAGAAAGAGATCACAAAGGCAATAAAATGTTAGTGTTGAGTACAATTTGAAGCAGACATGGGATACTACTTTAAATACTCAAGGGATAAACACTGATATTGTAGAAAACACTAGAGTTCTGTTATAGTTTATGCTCTGTCATTAACATTGCAGATCTGTATACTATTCACTCTAAGCTTGTACTTTTGTTATTGGGAAAGTAGAAATTAGTCACATGTTACTAATATGAATTGAGCTATATCCTACATATATAATATATTTTAAAATGCAAATAATAAAGCATTATTAATTTTATAGTGATATTATTGGATATCCTATAATATTTTGAATATACTGGAATATATGACATTTAATTTCACCTGTAACTTTTTACTTTTTCTTGTGACTACTTTTCAACTACGTCTATGTATTTTATTACATTATATTTTCTAGTAGAAACATAATAAACAACATTTTTACACACCAACTCCAACATAAAAGCATCTAGAGCGATGATTCTCAACATTCCTAATGCTGTGACCCTCTAATACAGTTCCTCATGTTGTGGTGACCCCAACCATACAATTATTTTCACTGCTACTTCATAACTGTAATTTTGTTACTGTTATGAATCGTGATGTAAATACCCGATATTCAACCTCCAAAGGGGTCAAAACCCACAGGTTTAGAACCATTGATCTAGGTGTTCTTTAAAAAAAATATAATTTTCTTATCTTTAAAGAATTTTATTAAGCTAGCTTGTATTTGAGTGGAGCATTCCCTTCTTTTTAAAGTTGTTTCTTTTATTTAGCATATAAAGGAACAGGTATCATTATAGTATTTTCATATATACCTTGTTCTCAGTCACTCCTCTTCCAAGCCTCTCTTCTACTCTCTGCCTCAATATATACTCTTCTACTTCCATGTCATATGTATTCTACTACCTTGTTTTTCTTTTCAAAGTCCCCTTAAGAGCTCTTCTTCCTCTTCCATGGTCCCTTTTCTAGTTTCAGGAACTATATACATTCCCATTTATCTGAGTGTGGTTTATTTCACTTAACATAATGCTTCCTAGTTCTATCCATTTTCCTGCAAATTTCATTCTTATTTACAGTTAAATAAAATCTCATTCTGCAAATGCTTTCTTCCCATTTTCTTTATGGCTTCTGCTGTTGATAGACACTAAGGCTGGTTCTGTATTTTTAGCTCTTATGAATTGTGCAGCACACAACAGTGATGTGCATGTGCACATATCTTTGCGGTAGCACGGAGAGTACTTTTGGAATCATGGCAGCTAATATTCCACTGTGAAAATATACTTTCAGGGGTGTACATGAGGATGTGTTCATGTGAAAAGAGGATATTCCCTCCCCCCGAATGTAAGCAGCCACCATGATACAGGCTAGGCTCTTGGACTGAATACAAAAGAGAAAGTTAAGTTAGCATCAGCATTAACCTTTCTCTGCTTCCTGACTGGTGACAATAGCTGTCTCAAGCTTCTGTTGCCATGTTGCCATAATTTTCAACTAAAACAGACCTAGAGTCACCAGGGAAGAGAGGATCTCAACTGAAGCATTTCCTAGATCAGATTGGGATGTAGTCTTGTCTGTGGGGTATCTTATTAATCGCTAAGTGATGTGGTGGGGGGACTGGCTCGCTGTGGGTGATGTCATCACTAGACCATCAGGCCTGAGCTACATAAGACAACAAGCTGAGCAAGCCAGTAAGAAGCATTCTTTCATGATCTCTGCTTCAGTTCTTGCCTCCAAGTTCCTGCCATGAGCTTTTGTCCAGGTTTTTCTCAATGATGGCCTAACACTTATAAGATAAAATATCCTCCTTGATGTATTTTGGTCCGGTGTTTCTCGCAACAATGCAAATGAAAAAATATGCCTTCCTTGTCATGATGGATTATATTCCCTCAAACTATAAGCCTAAACAAACCAACTCTTGTTGCTTCTTGTCAGTTATTTGATCACAGCTATAAAAACTAACACAGGTACATACCCAGGATTAGATAGCATTTCTACGTTTCATTTTCAAGAAACATTAATACTCATCTCCATAGGGACAACACAAGGTCACACTACCAATCAGCATAAAGTTTTTCTTCCTCACATTCTTACCAGCATTTGTTGGGTTTTTGTTGTTGTTATTGTTTCTAGTGGTGGTAACGGTGGTGATGGTGGTGGTGGTGGTGGTGGTAGTGGTGGTATGTGATGTTAGTCATTCTGATTGTGGTGAGATTATATTTTAAAGTAGTCTTATTAATGATGTACATTTTCCTGATGGTTGAAAATGTTGAACATTTGGAAAAATTATTTATTGATCATTTATTTCATGTCTTCTTTGGAAAACTGTCTATTCAGATGATTATATAATAAATGAGGGGGTGGCATTTCATTTAAATTCTGGGTTTTATTAATCTGTTCCTTTGTGATTCCATACAAAATGGCTACTGGGGATATGTGCCTGAAATCCCACTCATTTTAGCTGTGGTCTTAAAACCATCAGTATGTGTTCATGGTTATTCTCTAAACTTTGACCCTGACACAGACTTCCCCAAGCCACCCTGATGTGTTCAATGTTCCTTCTCATCCTATGGTCTGTCTCCCTGAAAACAAAACATATTAATATTTTGGTGTGGCTTAATCATTCTTTTAAAACAGAGAGGGTGGTCAGCAGAAGAAGCACAAGCTCTGTGTGCATAGCGATCCACATTCATTCCTAAGTCTTGTGGTTATTGATGGCTTCATTTCAAATACCCTAGGGATTGACTCGTCAACCAGTAAAGCTGGACTGTGACACAGATAACATTTCAAGGTGTTAACAAAATAAGCCATATAAGTGGAGAATGAAGAATTAGATATTTCATTCGAAAACACTCGGCATAGGAGCTAAGAGGTGATTTTATCTATTTCCCTACTTCAGGGTGCTGCCAACACCTAAATCCTATCAATCAGTTCACTGTGCTTTATAAGTTGAGAGCCCCTGCAAGATAGGTTTTTCTTTCAACTAATATGTCCAGTATTGATATAGGGTAAAAATGATCACAGCTATACTTATGATGAAAACTAAAATGTAAATAGTCATTTTTCAAGTACTTTATACTTGTCAAACTGTGCTAAATCTTTATTAGCATGTGTTAGTTCATTAAATTCTTAGAGAAAGTCTGTTGTGGTCCCTATGTTTCAGTGAAAACCTTGCCAAAAAATAAATAAAAAGTAAAAAACATATTGGTAGGAACTAGTAAAGTTGCAATTCAAGTTAACTTCAGCACTTTGCTCCTTCCTTTCAAAATACATGCCATAAGGCCAACTTTTAGGCAATTTGAGCTCCAAAAGCCCAAGCCCCTCTAACCTTTTGTTTGAGACCCAGAATACTTAAACCTTATCTTAGAGGAAACACCAACAATAAAGATGGTGATATAGCTTGCCATGTGAGGCCCTGGGTTCCTCAGTACTAAAAAAAAAAAATTAAAGACCTTCTATTATATGAAGTGAAGTAAAACATAACCCTGGCAATGCCGAAGCATGCATGGGCAGCCCATTTATACTGGGTTTCAAGATCTGAGTTGATGAGGATGACTAACCAGGTCTCTTCCTCAAGGAACAGGTTCCACCAAGACACGAACTCCAATTGCTGGATTCAGAGTCCAGTGTGTTAATCATTAAACCACAGGAGCTGGTGCAGGAGAGATGGCTCAGCCATTAAAGGCTAGACTTCCATTATATGCATGTACAAAATTCTCAAAAAAAATTCTTTTTAAAAATATAAAAGAGGAACACGGCATTCCACAAGGAACTAACAGAAAGATATAGGTTATAGAAAGGGTGGCCATCACACACCCTCATAACTCTTTGCTATCTGTCTTCCCATAAAGAATTTTTTATTGTCTCTTTTCCGTTGTGATATCCCCTGGCCAAAAAAAAAAAAAATGTCAAGACCACTTTGCAGATGGGAGAATCTGGCCCTTCCAATACTCAAAGAACAAATTCAAACTAACAACCTCAAGGAAAGTCAAGATCTAGAACACATGGTCAGTTATAATCACTAATAGCAACCTGTTAAAAGATGACCTAGTGGAAACAGAGACCTTACAGAACAACGGTATTAATGTCCAAATTCTTTATGGTAAAACATCAAACAATCCGTAGCCTTCCAAGCCTTTACAGGTTTCCTGTTTCCATATATAGCATGTCTTAGATCCCAGCCATTTGACTTTGCTATAAGAAGTGAGACCTGAGATTAGTAAGCTTCAGCCCCTTGAGAACAAGGAGTACACACTCTGACATTAACAGCTGAAGACTGTACCAGTCCATAATGGTATTCATACTTCTTCCAAGGAGAGAAACAAAGAAAAAGGAAAGAAGAATAGTTGATATAAGGAGAAAGAGAAGAGAATAAGCAAAAATGAAGTGGAAGAGATAAGAAGGATCTAGAAGAAGAAAGGATCAAGAGGGGGATATAGAAAATAAAGTAGGTGGAGGAAAAGAAAAAGAAAGGTGAAAAAATCACAGCTATATAGAGGTTTGGGGGAAAAGACTTTAAAACTATCCAAGCCAAATATAGAAAGATAAAGATCAAACAAAGGAAGTGACTTAGGAAAAGGTGAGCAGCAGAGAATGAACCAAAATAAACAAGAGATAGAAGAGAGGTCAAAAGATTAGAAAGGCAGAGATTTAAGAAAAAAAGTAGGAGTGAAGCAAAAGAAGGAGATGAAGAGACAGAGAGGGAGAAAGAGAAAAAGAAATGAAAAGACAAGGAGAGAAAGGAATAGAGCAAGAGTGTGAGTCGGGAAAGCTGGGTTAGGCAGCCAATGAGAGAAGAGCAGAGTGAAGGTTGGCACTCACCCTCACAAAGCTGGCCGGAAACCATCCCTCCTCATCGTCGATCTGGCCCCACCACCAATCCTTGTTGGAAGCATCCAAGACTTTGATGACGTCGCCAGCTTTAAATGCCAACTCCCGGTTGGCCATGGTGACGTGATCCCATACTGCCTCAGCACTAACGATGGAATCTCCAGTGATCAGCTTAGGAGACAAAATGAGAATGTGTTCAGTCCATACATCTGACTAGTCTACTTGAGCATTCCCTCACCCCAAATGCTCTACTTATAATGGAACTGCTTACATGTTCCGGTGGTGAGATGTGGCGGTAAGGGGAAATGACACCAACATGCAAGCTATATTGGACTACAAGACAAACAATGCTGTCATTTCTCGATTAGCCAGTGCATGGAATAATCCAGCATGTGAATATGGACAAAGCATCATGCTTTCATCTATTTTCATGAACTCTTCTTCCCAACATGAATACAAACAAACAAACAAAGCTCTATCCATATCTCCTTGGTGCTTTAAAGCAGCCCTGGATCTTTAAAGTAAAAAGGCTAGCATCAGTGACTAAAATAAAGTGCAGGCATATTTGTTTTCAATTCTTCATGTTCCTTTCCCTTTCCCCTCCTCCTTGAAACTGACCAATTGAGAGTTGGTAGCATACTATTTAACTCAACCATATGCCTTCCCATGTGGTAAGAGAGTATAGCATTCTTCAAACACAACCGACCCCAGTCCGACAGTTCCTACTCTCACCCATGCTCGATTCCATTTAGATAGATCATGGGTCTGAAAGAGTATGGCTTCCTTTGCTGTGCTGTGCACGATGAACTCAATTCTGGCTTAGATGCATAAACAAATTTGTTCAGCGGACCTGTGGTTTAGCTAGGGAGTCCGTGTTGGCTTCATCTGATAGATTAAAAAGAAACTGATAATGAAGAACTGAGGCCAGAAACTAAAGATCACTCAGTGAGGTAGAGGGTATGCGCAGTCCTTGATCTTAACCGGGGTGACTGAATTTCATAGAAATCAGGACTGGGCTCCACACACCGGAGAGCAAACATCTATCCATTACCACATGCACATGAACAAAACACAAATAGTCATGACACTCATTTAAGCACGTAGATAAGGATGGAGTGGGAGTTAGGCCGCCTCTCCTTGGCTACTGACTACGGTTTCATGTTTACTTTCCCCTGAACTATTCCACCTTGTACCTATTGGTCTCCCCAGCATTTGTAGAGGCACATTTTGGAATTAGAGAACATATGGCCTTCCTGGCAAAAAGACTCAAACACTCTCTCTCCATACTCAATTACGGAACATGCCAATTTATAAATAAGTTTTTCCCTGAGCCTATTTGAAGAAGAAACGTCTGCCTGAGGAAATCATAGTTCCATAATACCAAAGATAAAACATTTCAAAGACAGCAGAACTGTCATCTGAAGAATATTTAGCCTCTCCAACAGACCGATCATATACTACATTGTCCAGAGAATGAATGCTACAGTCCAATCAGAAAATGAATATGCAGAACACTGTACACATATGAACACATACATATAATATACACTGCTTTTATGACTTGGTATACTAATCTCCTAGGCCATGTCTAAGACATACTTCTTTGGTCAGGGGTCTAACCTCTATGCTCTCCACAGAAATCTAGGCACAGGAGAATCTCAGTATGGAAATATCTAACAGGACCTTTTCGAATGTGTTTTCAATACCTTGTGCTTCACTGTTCACAAACGGTTTCTTCACCCAGCATAATGCACAGTCTGTACTAAATAAACTGCGTTTCATTATTGGCCATATTTAAAAATGAGAAGACTGAGGTTCAGTGAAATAAGCTTGTCTTTCAGCCAGTAGCAATGAATAAATTACCAAAACAGGTCTTTAGGCCTCAGAAGCATCAAACCATACTACTAATATGGGCTCACTTATACTAAACTTACAAGAATGTCAACATAAAAACAGATGGCCTTAAGGAACTCTGAGGAAGGAGATCTTAATCTCCTCTCTAACAAGATTCATTTTAATGTTGATCTTGTTTTCTTCCAAAGAAAAATAATCAATTTCTGCTGGTTCTGGTCTCAGTGAAGAAAGAGAATTGCTAGTTACTGGTTTTTATAGTTTGAATGTTGGATGCCTCACACAGGTTCATGTGTTTTAGAACTTTATCTCAGTTGGTGGTGCTGTTCTAAGGAATTTATAGAATCTTTGGGACATCAGACCTAGATGAAGGTTACAGGTCACTTGAGGCAGACCTTGAAAATTAAACACATTTCTAATGAAAACCCAAGCTCTCCATGTAAGAACCAACTGCCAAGATAAGAACAAACTGCTATATGCTCCTGCTGCTATAGAAAGAGACAACCCAGCATCCATGCCTTCTTTGCCAAGATAGACTACATCCTTAAAAACCATGCACCAAAATAAATTTCTCCCTTACTTTGTTTCTGTCAAGTATTACATCAAAGTGATGTGAAAAGTAGTCTCAGTAAAATAAATATTTATAGATAAGGACTAAAGATGGGTCCAAACTGAGTGTTGCTAAATTAGCACAATAAAACCAGATAGACCAAATCTAGAGGACCATGAGTGTTTATGGTTTGAACTATATTCCCAGATTCTGATCAAGTGTCTATAGTTTGTTAGCTTTGAATATCAGCCCTCTGTTCAGGACACCATCTAAAAAAACAAAATTCAAATGCAGATATAGCCTTTCCCTGGAGAATCTACTTTTAACTTATAAGCTATGCTATGTGGTTCTATACTCCTACTTGCTGCATGAGTTATAAAACCCTGAGCCAAGAGCTGGCTGTTGTGTATGGAGAGGTATGATGAGTATAATGAATTCAGAGGGTCTTCAAGCTATAAGAAGCTTCTAAGCACGTTTACCATAAATACCTGTCAGAGTAAAAGAATGCTCTTCTCCCATCTTCTGGGTTTTTTTAATAAAAGTAAATTAAATTTGAGCTAAAAACTGGTCATATGTATTCATTTTCTGTACAGAATTAAATTTTAATTTGCTACAAGGTTTTCATACATTTACGTACCCCACACATTCATTTTTCATCCAGCATGCATTCAATGACCTGCTGTGTGCACAGACCTGCTCGCTGCGGTTATTCATACTTAAAGATCAAAAAGCCTTTCAAACAACATGAAAATCTACCTTTGATTCTGAACTTTGTTACTTTAGAAAATAGTAGTGATGATATAAGGTGAAAAATGGAAAAGTCAAAGGAACAAAACAAAGTGGAGCTGTCAGCATGCAATAGAAATACAGAGGAGTACAATTTTACAAAAGCCAAATGCAAGAGACTCCAACTATAGAACATTGGACTTCAGTTTCTTCATCTATGAAACAGGATAAAGTCTGCTTCAAAAGGCAAGATTACAGAAAGGGTGGATTAACATGACAAATATACAATGCCTAGAAAGACTTGGACTTAATAGCCTGTAAGACTTCATGGGTAGGAGGCATTCTGCATAGCTCCTGAGATCCATGAAAGGTTTTATGTAGCACTGAAGTATGATTTAAAAGATAAGTGAATGACATATGCTGAGGGAAATAGCGGTATACTTGAGGCTGAAGAAAGAGGTTAAGTCATCTGGAGTTATATGTGAAAAGGCTTGGATTTAGTTTGAAGGAAATGAGGTCAAAGTTGATGGAGGAGATGATATCAGTCCTAAGTGTGGTTATTAAAATATAAGCAATATTAGGAAATGATGAAGACTTTGAAGGAGAAGAGTTGATGACCAACACACTTTTGAATGGGTTAAACATGGAGGGGAGTTAATTGAATACATAAATATATTGGGATTTCAAGAGAAGTCAGAGGAAGAGATAGATGGAAAGTTCTTGGAGAAATTGTAGAAACCAAGAAATTCTGTCTCGGAGGACAGAATTATGAGAAAAAGCCATAAACCTTAAAAGTTAATAACAAAGGGAGATGGGGACTAGAAAAATAGCCAAAGAAACAAATTGAAATAAAGCTGGCAGCAGATCATTGTAAATAAAGCCAAGAAAAGTCATTTGGGAGTGACTCTACCAGGAATTCCATTCTCTATTTTCCCTCTTCTTTCTGCCTCACTTCCCACCAAAAGTCCTGATTGCCAATTGCCTCCACACTTCATCCTGAAATCCCAATATAAAGCAAGGAGATGGTACTTAACTACTCTAGCATGGAAACAAATATTTCTAGGCCATGGAATAGCACTCCTGTGATAGCTAACAAATTAACTTCCAATTCCCAAGGCATGCTGGCTGCAGCATCAAATACATATTAGTTCTTCTTGAGATTTACCAAGAAGTGGGGCACACAGTGCTTTCAGTATGTACACTGAAGAGACTCTAGGATATGAGTAAAAGGATGAAGGCTTATTTTAATCCAGGAAGTCAGAACTCTTACCTAAGAACTGTCCTTTCATCTCCTTATGATTCATTCTCCCCAGAAATCCCTATGCAACCATGGAGTTTGGTTTCTCTGCCCCCACTGTTCCCTGCCTATCTACAGGGCTTTCATCAGAGGTTGGTAGATGTCTGAGGGTATTTATGGTCATGTAAAATGTATGCCCAATGGCAGGTTTGCAATGACGAAGGATAAAGCACCCTAAGATCACAGTCCTCAATCAGTTTTTACGAATTGTATCACTTGTTTTATTCCTTTTGTTCTTTCCCCTTTGTTGAACAATATAACCCCTCCAAAATAGATAATTATTAACCTGACTGGCTAGCAGAATATTAAAGTTTAATATCAAGAAGCAGAATACATTTAAAAAGTGAACTACTGGGACTGGAGAGATGGCTCAGCAATTAAGAGCACTGGTTGCTCTTCCAGAAAACCTGGGTTTGATTCCCAGCCCACATGGAGGTCCACAATCATCTGCAATGCCAGTTTCAGGGGTTCCAAAGTTCTCTAATCAACTCCACAGGCACCAAGCGCACACATGGTATACATATCAACATGCAGGTAAAAGACCCACACATATAAAATAACTTTTTAAATTTAAACACGAACCACTATGTGTTGTAAAGAATAACAAATGTTCCAACTGTTGTTATGGTAACTGTGCAAGGCCTGCCTTCTAGAAATATACGTAGGAGGAAAAGGAAGGCTATGGAGGAAGGCTGTTCCTCCCTATGACGTTTTATTTGACCTTTTCCCCTCAGATGGCCCCTTTTC